AAGGAACCTTTGGTTCAATATAGATAATGTGTGACCAGTAACTCTCTATGAAGGAAATCATTATAGGAAACGCATGCTCTGGAATATCGATTAAACTAGGAGAAATCCACTCTATAAACAGGCTGTGTTGGAATTCTGCTACTTAGAAAATGAAAGTTCAAACAACTGGAAACCTGTAATCATCTGTTCGGTCGTTAAGTAATGCTCTCAACCGACCCTAATTGTCAATGTATATATGCAAGTCCAGTTGTAAAGCAAACTTAACTTTATCTGTGATGTACTTTATTTCAGGTTAGTTAGGATAGATGTGTACAACATAGTCACAAAAGCCAGAATTATCTTTTGAGAGGATATCATCTATATAGTGGAATGTGAAATTGAATAATAATGTGTTCGTTCTCACAAGAATCTTCTGCATGAAGTCTGCCTCATATGAAAATAGAAACAGGTCGAATATAGAAGAATCAAGAAGAGAAGCACAATTTGTTCCTGTATTAATACAGGCTGTCTTTTGAAATACACGTCAAATAGAATATGGTGTCTATAAAAAAAGCAATCTTGTTTGAATCAGAGTGTTTTTACAGAGTATAAGTTGTACCTATCTTTAAAATGACATTTTTATCTACGTCTGACATTTTTCATAAAACAAATTTGGACCGATTCTTTCAAACTGTCTTTACGTTTAGAACGAGGAAAACTTGTGTAAAGGGTAGGAAAGTCTAATGTCTTTTTGTCCTATTGCACGAGGACAGATATTTACATTCTATGTATTCTATCACTAACAGACCGTTTTGGTTTTTTTAAGTTTGCAAAGAGCAACTAGGCAACCAGTGGTTTTTGCCTCAATTAAAACAAAATCAGTATTCATGATTTTATGCACAAGTGAGAGGCTATGCATCTTCACACTATTTTATAAAGTTAAAAAGTAAATAGTTATAAAAACACAGTTCAGTTATGAAGCAGATTTTAAGCAAACGATTGAAAAAGAGGGAAAAATAATTGAAAAATGAACATGGGAAATATTATTAGTTTTCTTTTTACAAACTTAACATTGTATTTTTTTTCTTTCAGATCAACAATACAGCAGACAACGGGCCTGTAAAAGTTGTCTCTTTTTTAATAGTAATTAAAACAGTATTAAAGGCCAACACAATTAATTTTGGACAATTGTTGTGAAGTTGCACCTTCAGCCAATTAAACTGGCCATTATGGACACACATCTGTTATTCTTGTTATGCTGAAACCAACATTGAAAAAAAAAGTTTAGCCTCTCATGAAGTAGACTTGAAATAGACTTGCTGTCTCATTGGAGTATGCCACTATCTCCCCAATTTCATTTTGATTTTTTTTCCTCAAACCATCAAAAATACCAACTTGAAGTTAATAAGTTTTCGTCTTTAAAACATTTGAAAGGCCTAACCAGTTTCAAAGTTGAAGAACAGTGAAAGCTAAAAATTTAAAAACAAATGCCAGAGATCTAAGTCTGTGGTTGATAAACTTTAGTGTTCCAAATGGTTTTTAATGTATGCTTAAGCCCGTGTTGTTTTAGAAAAAAATGGTCGAATGGAATCTTCGAGAATCTTCTTAGTTAATCTCCTTAATAAAAAGCAACAGGAGATGACATAATTTTCTGCATATCTTCAGTATACATATCCTTGGATCTACTGGTGTGAAGCTACGGTTAGTAACCGTAAAGGTCATTATCCTTTTAAAAAAAACTTCGATTTCATGATTAGGCACAGCTTATATCAACTATATTGATTCGTCATTCATTACAATATATTTACAATCTACTATACTTCTGTTGTGTGAATTGTGTCGATCGATATTGGGTTCTACAGATACAGGTAGCTGCAAAAAAAGTCGGTTCTAGTAGCTAAAAATGTTCAGATAGCTCGCCACCATGACAACAACCCACGCATTTGGGATTTTGAAAATCGGTTTACTGTCATCACTTCGATACCTTTAGCTTGAACGAATTGATTGTGTTGCGTTACGATAAGTACACGGAGAGAACTGATAAGCATGAATAATATACTATGCAAATAAAGACCATGTCAGCAATAATTCTAACAATAAAAAAAATTCATTATTATAATAATAAATAACAACTTTATACTGGCAGCGTTTTTGTAATTGATATACATTCAAAGATGAGTGCTAAGGTTTTTTTTGTTATGCACAAAATCTATCAAGTAATTTGAATATTCCCATTTTTTAGGATTTCACTAATAAAAGTATACTTCACTGTAAATATCAATGTTTTGAAAAGTTAACAGCCCAATTTTGGTACTTGAAGCGTATTTATATCTTCTGGAGTAAAGTGTTTAACATTTTACAATCATTTTCCTTACTCAAATTTACCAAAAAAACACCTCTTTTAAACAATGCTGAACTTCTCTTAACGCCATAACTTTCCTCTCATTGTTTCAAGGACACTATTAAAATTTCAAAAACTTTAACCACAGAGTGAATATTTGTGGAAGCCGCCGACGACGACGGAATGTAGGATCGCTATATGTCTCGCTTTTGCGACAAAAGTCGCAGGCTCGTCAATAAACCGTAAGACATGTTACTGCTAGACCATATCGAAATAGAATGTGTCAATAGGACACCATACTCCACTCACACTACCACATTTCCATGTATAGTGAACCGCGAAATCCGGATCAAAACCCTATTTTGGCATATATATACATTGTATATATTTTTAAGTTCTCTTCGAAATGAACTTGTGGTCAAGTTTCAAGATGATGTGACCACAACTTCATTCATGGTAACTACCTGAAAGCAAAATGTTTACCTATCATAAACCAAAAATTTATTCTGATACATGTAGGAAGGACGGGCACAGACCGGTAAACACAATGGTCCCTAAAATATAGTAAAGGTTTGGCATGAAACAGGCCGTGAAATTGCCTATTGCATCTATATGAGTTTATTTGATTTGGTGGGACCGTAAAAGCGTGGATTTGATTTCATAGACTACAATCTGGTGGCATTTTTACATTTGATGATTTGATTAGATGTCCTATACAATCGGTGATTTTATTCGATGGTAACCAATCGCAGATTTGGTATGATGACTGTTCAATCGCCGATTTGATTTGGTTACCTCTCTACGATGTCCTGCATAATCGGTGATTTGGGTTGATGTACTATAAAATCGGCAATTTGATCTAACGACCTGTACAGTCGGTGATTTGACTTGATGGTTTGTACAATCGACAGTTTGATTTGATTGATTGTTAGATCGCTTGTGATTTTGTTGCGTATTTAACCGCTATTTTGATATGATATTCTCTATAATCGCCGATTTGATTTTGTGGCTTCTACAGTTGATAGTTTGGTTTTAATTGTCTCAAAAATCGCTGATTTGAATAAATTTTATAGTCATTCAGTCGCTTATTTGAAAAGTCTTTTCGTTCTCAGTTTGCTAAACAAAATTCAATAAACTGGACACGAGCTCTGATGGTCTATGGTGTGGGATGTTAAAAGGACAATCAGAACCACTATCTTCTAAATTAATTATATTTCAATGGTTGACTTCCAATAGTTTACCCCACAATAGGTCAAAATTATAAACCTCTTTTTAAGTCATTGTATACCTGATAATGTGATTCCGATTCTGTAAATGTACATCCCGAAAACGGGCATTAAGCCGTTTTAATTTGTTCTTATGTTGTGCTGTCACAACACTGTCCCAGGTTAGGAGAGGGTTGAGCGCTCACAAACATGTTTAACCCCGCTACATTCTTTATGTGTCTGTAGTTCATGCTTGTCGTTGGTTCATGTCTGTCATATTTGTTTTTCGCAAATTGTTTTGTTATAAATTTGGCCATTATTTTTCTCATTTGAATTGTTTCATGTCTGGGCCTTTTATAGCCGACTATACGGTATGGTTTTTTCTCGTTGTTGAAGGCCGTAAGGTTGCCTATAATTGCATACATCCATTTCATTTGAACTTTGGTGGATAGTTGTCTCGTTGACATTCATACCACATCTTATTTTCATGTGTTCATTTAAGAATCACGTGCATTAATTTCTACTTTTTCTATATTACTTCTCATCAAATGATAGTCCGCCTGCCTTGTGTAATTTGGATAAATATTATATACATACAGGTCTTTTCTAAACAATCTAATCGCACAGAATCAATTTATAAGATATATCCGAGATAGTATTTCAAAATAAAGCCTAAAATATGACAGTAACTGGATGAGACATAGTATTTAGATTTTGTTGGTTACTTGATCACTTACAAAATGATTCAGAGTTTGAAACCATATAAACTAATGCATACTTATATATTAAAAGATGTAATTAAATTACTTCTTGAAAGTTTAAACTTCCCGATTGTAAGGGAAATTTATCCAATGGTACTAAAATCTGCTTTTTGTGACTATTTTTAAGACAAGTCTCTTGTGTATCGTAAGACATGCCATTCTTTTTGATATATTTAGACGTATATATGTCTATGTTTTTCTGAAACTCTAATTACGGTAGTTTTCATATTAATTATTTGGTCGTTAAGTTCCATCAAAGTTATAAGTGCTTTTCGTGTCCAAATTAAATATCATATATATCTTCCGACCATTTTGTCGTTATTTGCTGTTATATCTCTGGAAAAGTTTTCCTAGTGTGGATTCTACAAAAACGTCCCAACCTTTCATTCATTTGACAACAAAAACGTTCTGACCAAATTTTACGTTTTACCCGACCAAAATTATCAGAAATAATGTTAAGCCGCGAAGGAACAAAATTAAGTTGCGAGAATACATAAATTTATAGGAAATGTTCTGAATTGTCTCTGTCAACGTACCCTAAACTCAATTGACGAATTACCATCATCTCGTGACTTAATTCTTTGGTGATTTTGTCAATATGTTTTTTTAAAGACTCATTAAAGCACATTTCTTTTTTACATATGTCATTTTGTTCTCGTTACTTTTTACAGTGAGGATAGCTATATAGGATATGAAGTACAGATAAGATACATATATTTTTAATTCTTTATTCAATATACCAAACATTATGTTCTTAACAGTTTAAACTCCAAGACATCATAAAACCACAATTACCACAGTGAAAGAGTCACATCTTATCTAATAAATAAATCTAACAAATACAAATATTCATCAGTTCCAAGTCTGTCACATATCAAGACACTAGTGCACATTAGTATGTGCCACAACATTTCTTCATCTGCACTCACATAAAACACATATATACTTATAAAAGTTTTACAACCATGTATAACTAGAAAGTCTCTACTCTATGAACAAGTTAAACTTCCGGTTGAACACAGAAGTGTAGTAGGCCATCTAGTGAATGAAAGAGAATATAAAGGCAGTATTAGTTCTATTTCGTCTTCAGTGGTCGTGGGTTTGGCATTTGAACCATTGAATTATTTATTTTGTTACGAGTCTTATAAAAATAAATTAAATACGTATAAATCTGGTGACAATAACATGAATGATCGAATTTAAAACCTGTATAGTCTTTTTCTCCTGATTTTATTTGATGATCATGCCCATGATACATGGACATTCGTTGGAATGTTTAGAATTAAGAAAATATGCTATTCTGATCATGTACACACGTGAATTCTCAAAAAAGAGTACTATTAATTCAACTAGAAGTTACTGTCAACATCAGTACTAAAAGTCGAAATATTGCACAAATAAATTCTAGTAACTGGTACGTTCGAAATACCCTGAGTTTTAAATATTTCTTTCGAACGACACCAAAAACCAGAAGTTAAGTAAACGTCGGACTACACATCACATTCTATCTCCGGAATATTTGGTTGGAGAATCCTTTGAACTTGTCCCTGGTTTAAACACTGTTCGAATTCCATAAGCTGTCCCATAAAATTGAAGTTCGGTGCAATAATTACACGTTTGCATTTAACATGGCGATAGGCCTCCATGACGTTCATTTTTGAATGTTTTAGGATATAAGCAATTGTTGCAGTTGCTGAACGAGAGACTCCCGCTTGACAGTGAACTAGTATTTTCCCGCCATCTGCTCGTGCTTCATCTATAAATTAAAAAAATACATCATGAAATGTTGCAGTTTTGTTTTTACTAATGATTTGCTCATAATAAATTTTAAAGATTGTACTGTGACTGATTTCTTTATTGCAGATTTGATAGTCACATTATTTACTTTTCTTGTATGTACAAACATCTTCTTAACCATTAAAATCGTTTTAGTCTATAAAATTACATAATACTCCGCGTAAGTACATAACCATCTTTTATTCCAACAATCATGACCTACTTCATATACATACAAATAGTATAGGTATTGATTTTCGGTCAATATTTCGATCTAATAAAAACTGGCTGTTTACAGATGACTCATACCCTTAAAGGCCTAGTTGTCGCCAGATGTAACAACCTACAGATATATACTTCCCTGTAGGAATCGATTTCACTGGTTTTACGACTTTAATAGGACTTAACCAATCAATAAAAGAGAAGCTGAAGAGATTTAGGATACAGAATAAATCTCCAAATCTTCTAGTTTGTTTTTCAATTAAGCATTCTAGAAAAATTATATGAAAATATTGTACGCTATGATCTCACTTGAACGATTGAACTTATAATTCCAGTGGGAAAAAAATGTGGAATCCCCCCCCCCTTTTTCCCGAAAAAAAAACACAAGATAAGTCTGATTTAAGGGGAAGATGTAATTAAAATCTAAAAATCTCATAACAAATTTTAATTACTTAATTTGTAGTTTATATATAGTTTACTTGTGTAATAGTTAAAGGGAAGTTTTGAATGCGCGACTCTTAATTTCAATATTACATAAAATGATTTTATCTTTAAACAACCAAATTTGTTTCTAAAACTGTATTTTTAAATTCAAATTCAAACAAATACGATTATTTTGTATGATTCATCAACACATCAACTTGAAAATTGAGACCTCGTATTGAACCGGTGAGTGTTCCGCATTTTTGTCAACCTTTAATTTTACCTGGGAGTTTTTAAATATTCCTTTCAAGTTCGATTAAAGAGCGATTGATAAAGCAGCTTTGGAGGGTAGATCATGGCTCCCATGACTCATGGTCATTTTTAAACACGTGTCAATGACTGGACGAGGATTAGATAAAATGCCATCTGTCGAAACTGACATCCCTCCCCTCATGTTATTCAAGTTCCTAAAGAATCACATTATTTACTTTCTTAACAAAGGACGCGCGTGCAGCTTGTTCGGTGACTCACCTACGTGTCAAAATGTATGAAATGTGCTGTGTTGTAAAGCTTTCAGGTAACTTTCTCCGACACCAGATCTTTTAAATATGAATGGCTTTTCAATCAAATGAATTGGAAGCCTCGACATATTTTTTAATTCAAATTATTTAATACATTGATCCATAAAAAACGTCAGCGGTCGCATTTATAAAGAACTTAAAAAACGCGCTCCATTTGTTTGTAGTGTAATACAGATCATGTATGGTACTAAATCTATAAATAGACTAAAAGGATGCAATGTATTAGGATGCAATATATTACACGGATGAGTAATTATATACATAAATATTATATATCCGCAAGTTAAATGTAAACGTTACTCTTAAAATCACAAACCGTGAGAAAAAGGGGGGTTGCTTCTATAATGCAAACTCTCATTTCCTATTTACTAGTATACTACTGAAATTACTAATTCACAAAACTTACCAATAAACTGAATGGCTTCATCAAAGTATTGTCTGAGATTTTGACATCCACTATCAGAGGCTGGCAGTCTTTTGTATTTGATTCCCTGGTTTTCAAAATATTTTGGGATGTTTGATGTTATGTTAAGAATATGACTAATGTTCAACTCTCGTAAACGTTGGAGATTTGATGCATCTCTTTCGTTTCCTACAACGATAGAAAAAACAAAAACATCAATATTATGATTTGTGACATACTAAGTGAGATTTGTTATCTTTTCACTTGCTTGGGATTTAAAAGCACTTTGCATGTAGATTACCGTATGATTTGATAAAGAAAAATCAGCTATAAGTAACATGAAGGAAGTGATATGAAATTCATTACTAAAAAAATCGTTCTCATTCCATTTACACATTTTACCAACAATTCAGTTGGATTTGACCTGGCTATTGATCCATCTATAAATATTAATTGCAATTTTATGTAAAAAATAAAACAATTCAACTTACCGAGGTAGAGGAATGGTAAAATTTGCGAGGCAGTTGCGGTTTCTATTTGGGGTTCGATGATGGGTGTTGTTGGGCTGTACAGGGGACGGGATTCCTGAGTATTTATGTGGTCATCACTACATTGAGTTCGGAATTCTTCGATGCCACCTGAAAATCAAAATTTATAGTCATGTAAAGATGTATCAGGAGTTTACATCAAATAAAGTCTGTTCTCTATACAAACATGTTTAGAAAGTAAATACTAAACTTGAGACAACACTCAAATCAAAGAAATAAGATTTTTTACCTATAAATAAACTGTATACGATCATTCTTTTGAATATTTAATCTGGATCTTGCTAGAAAAAAAATGCCTTTTAAAAACTTCCAAGAAGGAAGTTTAAAAATATATATTCGGTTTTATCCGGATTGTGTTGGTGAAATTCACTAAGCCACAACCATAACGTAATCGACTTTATATAAGCATTAATTTAAAATTACATCAAACCAGTACTGACGGGTTCAGTACACGTAGATATGAGTAAATATGTATTTGTAATAATAATGATTAATCATAATAGTAATGTGTATTCTATTTACACGATTAAATAAAGAGTTATTTAGGAAATTGACATCGTTGGTCACAACCATATAAGTCATACATGTGTTTAATGTGTGTTTATCATTCAGGATGAGTCATGCCTCAGCGAGACACCTTGAACTACCTTCGCTTATAATCAACATATCTGCCAGATGGTAGCCTAAAAAAACGTTTCTACCAGATCTATTTATACTTATCTTTGAAGTCTATAGTTAGACCTCCTATCTTAATGTCTGATTTCGGAGATAGATAGAAACTTAAGCAACAAGTGTGTGTACATAGTGTACGTACTAATATATTTTTCACAAGTTTGTATTTTATAAAAACTTGATTACCACATAATAAAACTAACAAGGAAATTGACTAATTGGTAAACATAAGAACATTAGTATTTTAGGAAAAGATTAAGTTTCTTAGTTATTATTTTATTATTGTAATATCGTCCTCTTCCGCCTTTGAAGTGTTATGATTCATTTCCATCTATTTTGAAAACGGATGAATTAGTGAACTGTGGGAAAATTTCAATCACATTTCCTTGTAGGGTAAAATGAAACATTTCGAAGGAAATACAGTTTAAAACCTCTTAATAAAACTCATTATGTAATATCTTTATTTTCAATAATTTGTATATATATTAAAGCTGCTGTGCTCGAGGATAAACTCGATAATTAACTGGTAGCGTATTATGACAACGAAATCGATAGAAATATGAATCATAACTGAAAACGACATCTGCAGCATCGTTAAATGATCAATGTTTAATATAGATATAATATATATATGGGATCTACATTAGACTATAAACTGCACACTTGTCATATCAAAAAACGAGAAAAAAAAATAAAATTGTTTAACTATAAAAAAAAAGATTATTTGAAACATCAAATAAAGTAGTTTCTAACTTTTCAAACTTTATACAAGTTGTACAGAAAGTGAAAAAAAAAAGTATCTCATAATTCAAAACACATATATTTGAAAAAAAATCATAAAAATCATGTTTTGCAGTGGTGGTCCTTACAGTTCATTTAAACTAAATAGTTCTATCGGGGACAAGATCGAATGAGTAACATAAATGGTTGAACAAAAACCACATTCCTTCCTTTGTGAGTCTTTCATTTATTTGTTCACCTTTGACCCCTTTGTATACACAAATTACTCTAACTATGAGTGACTCATGACTAAAACTTGCATCGCTTTGGTTGACCTATACATGGTTCGATTTTGATCCCATTATTTTCTCAGGGGTTATTATATCATGTTAAGATCAACAGATTAACAATACAAGATAAAATCTTATGAATCATGATTTGGTGTGTGAAATTTACCTGTAACACGTAAAAAATGTACATCGGTTTGTAAACATCATGTTCATGATATCTTTATTTTTAGTAACTGTATTACAAGACAGGTGCTTCTTCTTCGTTAATATGAGCATCTGTGTATTGCATTTAAGTAAGAATGAAGAGTTAATTAAAAAGTTTTAAACCTCCAAAAGATAACTTTCTAAGCTCCAACGCATCAGTTCACTTAGACTGGTAAATGTTTACTAAAAGCATCTTTGATATTTATACTACTGTTAATTTCATGCATATAAATAATTTAACCATAAAATGTATACCTTTGAGAATATAAGCTTCTCTTCCCTCTCTCAGCAAAGATGCTAGAACTATATGCATTGATGTTTCTGGTGAGAGTTGGTGAATGTCTTTGGTGTGGTCATCATAAAGAATTATATCTTTTGAACCTCGTCGTTTAAACAAGTCCTTTCCATCTCTTGAAGTCACTAAATCAACAAGACTTGCTTTTCCTTGCTGAAGTCTTTTTCTATTAAATCTGTCCGAGCAGTTCACATTGACAGCACCATTAATATGTGCTATGTTATAGGACACAAAAGGTCTACAGTCCACTAATAACATTGATTTTGATTTCCTCAGTTTGGTGTCCAGTTCTTGAGGTTGAATAGTCCTTGCTTTCAATGCCTCTGTGTTTGTATTTTGCTGTTTTAAGGCACTGCCACTGATAGAATAATTCATTGATTCCAATCTACACCTTTTCGGTAAGTGGTGGAAATCGTCTGTCTTACCACAAGTAAAATCAAAATCTAACTGTAATGCTACTCTTCTTCTCCCCGAAACTAATTCAGAAGTCACGGACGGTGGGGGTAAGACTTCCAGCTCTCCGGATTCGGGCATCGGAATTGATGGAATATACATTAATCTTTAAAACCACACCGTATACAAATATACTTGTACAATTTATAATCTGTATTTGACTATCCACATATTATCTAATTAATTAAGAGTAAATCCCTCTTTGAATTTTATAAAATATTAAACCACGTTACACAAGTTATTTCACAATCAGCTGATCGGATCAACACTAAATTCAAATTTTGATGAAGAAAGACGATCCGATATCCTAACGCTGTAATGTTTGTATGAAAAATTCTGCCATAAGATTATCGGTTTTTATACTACTGCCTACGTCACAGCCGATGAGATCACCTTTCTGTTTACAATCTATAAATAAGTTTGTGTTTATCAAATAATTGGGGCATCCACTTATAAGAATAGGTAGGGGAAATTTTTACCATGCGAGGAAAAATACTTATTTTGATAAATATGTTAAATTCAAGTTTACGAAAAAGAATCATATTTTCAGTCGAAGAACTGAAAAATAATTTGAAAATTAAAAAGTGCATAATTTATATTGCGTCCAATATCTTCATTCAAAAAAGTTTTTAACACAATATGCACATCTATAGATGTTCTTCTGAAGTATTTTAGATTAATGACTGAACGATTTATAATTTGTAATTTTGCATATTGCATGTTTGAATTTAGAGAACAATGACTGAAAGGAGCATTCGTTGGAGCTACATCGTTTGTTTGAATTGACGAGCGATTGTTTCAAGGCACTTAATTACCTTTAGTTTATTCCTGCAGTGCAAATTAAATTTTGATTTATAATTAAAGGAATCAGATTTTAAATCTTTTTATGACCAAAATCAAAATTCTACTTCTGTCATGAATTTAATACATAATATATACATATACATTGTATCTTAATTTTTTAATGTTTTTTTTTTTATTTTATCAATGTTTTCAAATTGGCTCACGTATTCGGATGTTATACATCCTTTTAGGTCCAGAAAAGCGCTTCGATCCAAACTTATCAACTGTTATTTTCATTAATTACAATATCCTGTCCCCCGGGTCCTCTTTTCTTTTGTGTCAGTGTGCCAACTTAGTTTTATTTATAACACATTACACAACCCCTTGTCAGTTGTCAGTAATGATTGTTCTGATGCAAAATTGCCCAATGGGTGTACTTTAGCATTAATACCAAAATGCATTGTGGTCAAAGTAGGAATTTTTCCAGGTATTTTCTTAATGAACCTGCATTTATATTTTAATTTTCGCGGCAACCCCTTAAAGGTTGATTTCCAGTGGTTCTTGTTCTTACAGTGAAAACTGTGTTTACAAGGTCCTCATGGTTCCTTTATACTAAACGACATTTTCCACGTTTAAAAAAAGATGAAGTAAAATTCGGAAAACAAAGAATATTGGAGGGCTGAAGATTACACAACTATATAATCTTTAATTAACACTGTTCTGCTCTCTAATTCAATAGTCTAAACAGAGTGGCGTTATCAATAACATTGTCTTTCATTAGAACAAATCTATACAGAAATAGAATAGTTTAATTAAATTAAATTTAAGCATTTTTTCATATAAGATAAGGTTATTGATTTTCAACTATAATTGATACTGTAAATATTTTAACATTGCAATCTGATTAAAATTCAGACCTATAGTACTCGCCTGCTCGTACATATAAGTCTTATGAGGATAACGAAATCAGAGGTATATATTTTAATTAGATTGTTTAACATTGAATCCTGTTTAGACAGAATATTGTGTGTTACCCCATCATATCCTTTCTTTTCTTTTCTATTTTATCATTTAGTTTATTTTAATTTAAAGTAAAGTTTATTTATTGGGTGCATATATAACTGAAGGTTGTTAAAAGATTTGTTTAAAACAATGTCTCAAACAGATTTTTCTTTGTCATGGAAATGAAATTTTCTTGTATTTCTTTTTATACATTTTTTGATGATTTCTAAGTTATTAATCATTTTCACAACAAGACATCGGTAAAATTTTACTTCATCAACCGTGACAAACAGTTAGTCCTGAAATATGTTAATTTCACTCCGCTTAGCTGATTCACCATACAAGCCTGCATTTGAATCAGCCCGCATTAGTATGAATAATTTGCTAATTTTAATTTTTTTAAAGATTAGTAATAAATAACATAAACTTGATGAAGCGTACAATGTACTTTGGACAGTGTCCAGTTTATTTAAAAGTGACCATCTCGATAATATGTAATAATTGTGTGAATACAGATGAATCATATTGATCTTACTCTGTATAGGAATTATTAGAATGTATTTAATAAACATGACCAGTATAAAGAAATACTGTCTACTGGTCAGATGCCACTCTAGGTTACTTAAAGTTCATCAGTAGTAGGTGATGATGATCGATGGCTGTTTAATGACAATGGCAAATAAAATGCATATTCAGGACGAGAAAATGTTACTGCAAGTGATATGACTATGAATCCCGCTTTAAACTATACCAACACACTGAGTCGGATTTTCAACATGATAGTTCACAAGATACCAGCCTGCAGGAAGACATGTCACCATATCCCGACATATTATTCTGACTCTGCATGGGCCGACCAGTATTTACTCTTACACCTAAATGCCGCGTACTAAGCAGAGAAGCAGCAACTACCAATTTCCAAGTCTTTGGTTTGACTCGTCCGAGGATCGAACCCACGACCTCCCGCATACGAGGTGAGAACGCATGATAACCACCAGACCCCGAAACGGTTTCATCAGTAGCAGGATTGACCCTTGTCCATACCGTTTAATCAGATATAAAAAAAAACCTGCATGACATGACAAAATGTGAAACAATTGAAACGAGAAATCAAGCGGCCTGATTTGTGACAAAATGATTAAAAAAAAACAAATATGACAAACAACCACAAACGACAACCACCGAATGACAGGCATCTGTCTTGGGAAAAGTACATAATTAAAGGATGTTAAGGGGTTAACATGCATGTTTCTGGGCGCTAAACGTTCCAATTTATTTGAGACAAAAGAGTATCAGCACAACATAAGAACAAACTGTGAAAAACAGTTGGAAATTGCTTTACTCAACAGAAAAAGTATAAATGTACTATCTTTCCAAAGCATATTCATTCATTCATTTATTTATTTTATTTTATTTAATGGATCAAACTGTAAGTTTGGAATGGTTTCACTCAAGAAATAAAGCAATATGTACTATCTTTCCAAAGCGGCATATTCTTTTATATATATATTTATTTATTTATTTATTTTCTTTTCTTTAATGGATGGATATTAATGACATGAAGCGCTTTTGTGTTTTGTTCAAAAATATGATGTGTCATTGTACATTACACACATAAAATTGTCTACAACCTATAAGCACTAAACCTGGTCATATGCACAATGATTATAAACTATGTGTACGTTATCTTTATTACCTTGAGATAAATATTATTTATTTAGAACAATCTAGAATATTTGTCACATGTCTACAATGAAAACAAAATTATTGTGTATATACTGTATAAAACCACTTCCTTCTAGCATATTTTGCGCACATATATAGACATTATAGCAGTCAAGGTCATAAAATCACAAAAGATGGCCGGAAGATATATATTAAAGGGATGTTCAAACTCATAAGTCGAAGACTTACTGACAACGACATGGCAAAAAAGAAAAACGACTTAAAGATGAACAGCAGTTTACAAATCTTAACATAGAAAACTATAGACTGAGGAACACGAACCTCACCATAAAACCGTAGTGATTTCAGACTCTCCAAAAGGGTTAGCAGATCCTGCTTCCATTTGGCACCCGTCGTGTTGCTTATGTTATTACAAATTCGGCAATAAGTTCACATTCGGAAAAGAGGACTGTATTGTGGTAACGGCAATTGGAACATATCCGTCGTCATCTGTGAAACAGATATTCCATAATGGTCAACCAATTGGTGATGGCTAACATCAAATTTTCGAACAGGGAAAACTTCAACTTCACTACTTGGTATAATCTGGGAAATGAACTGTCTCACATGAGCTCCTTCAGGCTATGTTGGTTCAGCCAGGTCTTAAATATGCAGAAGGGTCAATTGCTGAGGAAATTTAGTAAGAAATCTTTATGTCTGAAAAGGGATAGAATAAGCTTTTTACTTTACAGGTTTAAAGTCATTTAAAAGTTCAAAATGTTTTAAGAGAAAAAGACTAATATTGATTAGATTACAGGTTAGATACTTAGTATATATACAATTTGTTTTTTCTCGAAAAATTCCATTACAGAAAGGGAATACGTCAACAGTCGAACATAGACACACGCAAAATATTTCCTTTGCATTAAAATGTTTGACCATGCTGACTCAGTAGGAAAAGCTCCTCTTTGAAGAAACCACACCGATCTTAATCATTGAGTTTCCTATGATAGGCTCATGTCGTATCTTGACTGACGCCATTGCCTCGCGTTCAGATATATGGACAAGGTTTGTGGTTTTGTTCCCAAAACAACATACCCAGTTTTAGTTAATGATTTGCAAATGATCGTGTGAAAATATGTTGAATGGTTATAGAAATTTTCATTCATAACCACATGGGAAATTCAACAGAGCGTCAAAAGCCCTAAAGACAGTAGTGCAAAGTCTACCACAAAATTACAAATTTCCTCACTTGAATTGAAAATAAAGGAAATACATACGTATTAATATATTGAAAACGGAAATGCAAATGGATGAATCAGCATCATGAGTGATATTTTCCTGTTCAACATTTATTTATATACTGATCACAAATATATAATATAAAAAAAGATAACGATAAAAATCAAATTGAATATTCCAATTATTTTTTCAGTGAATTTTTATAATTTCATGAATCAGTAAAACCGTTCCCTGTAGTGTTTCTTACTGTAAGTATAAAGGGTTTGTTTCTTAAAACTGTGTTTTGTTGCATTGTAGTAAGTGTTTATAAATTGTATAGATTTACACACAGTAATTTTACTTAAACATCCTTTAACCCCGCCACATTCAATAGATGCCAGTCCCAAGTCAGGAGCCTGCAGTTCAGTGGTTGTTGTTGGTTCTTGTCTGTCATATTTGTTTTTCGTAAATTGTTTTGTTAAAAATTAGGTCGTTAGTTTTCTCAATTGAATTTTCATATTTTTCATATCGGGGCCTTTTATATAGCCGACTTTACGGTATTGTTTTTTTCTTAATTGCTGAAGGCCGTACGATTGCTTATAGTTGCTTACATCCACTTCTTTTGAACTTTGGTGGGTAGTTGTCTCATTGGCAATCATACCAAATCTCTTTATTTTTATATAGTTTGTGCTACTTCTCTTTCCTCTTTCAAGGAGATTCGTTTGTTGACGACGATGGATGTATAAATTATGAGTATGCATTGCATGAAATATTTGTTACTGACTGTTAAGCAAACAACAATCGACCAATTATATTTCAAATCTTAGTGTATGCAATGGCTGAAGTTATCATATGACATATTGCCACGGACAATATGCCACGTATGTTAACCTTGTATTGTTCTCCTTTCGCTAATGTTTTCAGTGATTGTATCGCTTTTTTTTTACTAACTCACTCAACACATTTCAAAAGCATGTCAAGAGTACTATAGGGAGTAATAGAAAGGATGCATATTTATATAATTTATTTAGCTAGCCAGCAACAAAGGATAAACAGGAAAATATCACTCATGAGGTTGAATCATTTGTTGCATTTCCCGCTTATAAGTATATACATACTAATGACTTCCCCTATATATATATATAATTTCTCTTCTTGTGCGCTTTAACTTAAGCCTATAGGATTGTCAAATTTCCATTATGTAAACAAGGTTGTATGTTGACCTTAAGATGTCTTTCGATTTTATGCTGTAATTGTTCAATTGTTGTATTATTTTATTCATGAAGCTAAAAATCAAATGTGACGGTAATATCTATTTAAGATTTCAAGGCGCACTGCGAGTAACACATAATATAAACACTTTTTTTATTCGAGCGTCACTGATGAGTTTTTTGTAGACGAAGCAAGTTTTAATCCTGGTATCTATGATGAGTTTATTTAGTTCAATGACAACTTAAGGGGCTGCCCGATTTTCTTTTCAAATTCAACTCTTAACTTAATTTTATACAAAAGAAGCTCATTAGCGATCGTAATGGGACGTTGTGACCTTAAATAAGGATTGTTCTAAAACATTTCAAAATGCACTGTACCTATTATAATGATTGAATTCGGACACAGTCCCTAAATACAATTACCTTGAATGTGTTAAAGTAATCACCATCTTGCGGTTTTCAGCTACCGCAGACTGTTAAGAGATTCTTTGAACTGTGACTCAGGGAGTTCGGGCCAGTCTGACACATATCTGATTTATCATTCAATTCTGGGTATGAAATTATATCAAAGAAAGATTATTTCATATCCATGACACACATAAAAAAAGAAACCGCATGTTTCCGCATCGATGAGGTGTTAAGCAGGAAGAAAATATGTATTTGTTTGTTTACAAACACTGCCATGGTATATATTAACAAATGAACCGTGAATTTAAAACCACAGAATGATTTCAGAAAAATGGTTTACGATTCATTATATCTTTAGATAATATTGATTTATACAATAAGAAATACTTGATTTAATACATATTATCCCATTATTCAGTGCTCAATTATTTCTGCCTTAAAAGGTAAATGTTTAAATAAATATACTGCAAACAGTTCGTTTAAATCACTTATTCGTTCAAATAATAAATCAGTCAAGACATTTGTATTTAATATATTAACTAAGAGATATATTATGTCATTTTCAACATGTAACCAGATCATATATTCATAACTGTTGTTGGAAACTGCAATTTTGATAAATTTAGGCAGATCTTGACTACGTTCACCCTCTTTAAAAAAAGGGGGCAGTCCAAACGTTAACTGAAATTTTGTCGAAATAAAAAATGTGTATTAGCTTTCAGATATAATGAATCCATTATGGTTCTTCTTTTCCTTCTAAGCAAAATCAGTGGCGGATGCAAGTGGGGGCATACAGTCTCTTTAATTTGTCGGGGAAAATATCCCTTTCTGGCATACAATTGTAAAAAAATCGTCTTGCTACTCTGCCGGGGTGTTAATATATCATTACATACAATTACGTCCCCTTTCCTCGAACCCTGGATCCGCCCATAAAGAATGCATGTATGTAAAATAAAAAGCCGATTGAACCTAACTGAATGTTTAGTCATTAGGTTCACCAGCGATCCGATTTTGAACATCTGAATGCAACAAAGCAATTATTTCATATATTTGTGTCCCTGTAGACATGAGCTGTAGCTGTAGAAGTGAGATCATCTGGTTTTCAGTGAGTTTCAGACACCACACTTACCAATATCGTCCGTCTTAATTATATACATGTACACAAGGAAGTTATAAGGGTAAGTATTAACGACCAAATATCCTTAATGCTCAAATTTCGAGATCAACTTCCCTAATAGACTTCTTTTCAAAACTTAAGAATTAAAAAAAAACGCAGATATCTAAAAATATATTAAATATTTGTTGTCATATGCAATACCGGCTAGACAAAAATCTGACGAAAATCTTCCGGTCGTCGACAGGTTTCTCAGAGTGCACGGGTGTGAGTACATGGTTACTGGGGTGCTGGGAGGATTATCTCATTTGAAAAAGATATATGCTTTTTAAAATATTTTTATATTTGTTACGAGCTTATCCTGATAAATTTTCGTCCATTTATTACTCCAAACGTTTCGCATTAAACGCAACAAAAGCAACCAACGTTACAAAACGTTTGCTTATCTGGGCAGTGTAGTTGTGAAATGCGTTTTTTTATATGTAGTTGATTAACATCGAAGCGCTTATTAACTTTAACATTTCGGAAAACTAAAATTATTTACTATTTTTTGTTTTCTGCATTGCAATTTACATCTGCATGTAAATAGTTTGGGTTTTTTTCAAGCACGGTTCGTGACTTTTATTTTTGAAATTTTCCCAGAAGTACAGCGGTCGATGTTATAGTTTAGTAAAGGCAGAGATTCTTTCTTTATCAGCATATTTCTTAATCTACAGGTAAACTTCGGTTAGCCAAGCATACTCTGAAATCATTTCTGTTTTGCCTTCTGTTATATATATGCCTTGTTTTGTCTTCTGTTATATATATATATATATATATATATAATATATATATATATGCCTTGTTTTGTCTTCTGTTATATATATATATGCCTTGTTTTGTCTTCTGTTATATATATTCCTTATGTTTAGCTTTTTCTGAATTTATTTTGATTGTTCTTTATTATTTACACCGTTTGCTACTCCAGTGACCCAGACGAAAGGGAAGGGTTGCAAAACCAAAAATTATTTTTGTTAAACTGTTTGCCCTTAAAAGTTGGGTGTTGATGATATAGATCTTTGGAAGTCTTCGTTAAATTTATTCCAATTTGACTTAACTCTAAATGATTAAGAGCCTGGCATCAGAGGCACTTGACTATTGTCAGTGAAGACATTATTTTAACCTCTAGGTGTTTTTTTATTTAATTGTGTTGTTGGATTGCTGTTTAATTTGTATATAACCAACATCTCTTTTTTGAAGCTTTGCATGTAAACGTCACGTTCTCAAATTATTTATACAAGATCCACCTAAATGTGTAAGATTCCTGTACACACAACTTATCTTGGTTAAAATTTTGATTCATTAAATTTTCTGAATGAAATTTACATGAAACTGACATTTCTTAAACATTTTTCATATCACCTCCAGCTGGTTTGATGCACAATGTGGCAACATGCACAACTTACGCCTAGACGAGTGCACCTACTTCTGGGGTTAGAAAACAGCTGGATTCTGTAAAAGCTCTATAGATATATTTTTAGGAATAACTGATAACAGAAGATTTGAAAGCAGTTTATATTTTATTTTGACGTCATATTTTTACAACATTATAATATCAGAATTATATTTATCACTGATTATAGGTAGATAATTTATATCATTTTGAATCTATCATATTTTATGAGTATCATCATATAGATTGTAATTAAGCTTTACACTTTCCGAAATTAAAAATTAAAGGTACGAACTCCTCACGTATCTTTTTGATGCAGAAACGCTAAAAATCGTTAGATTTCAAACAAGCAAAAACTTTCTTTAGGAGCAAATGTAATCGCTTGATTGATCAGTGCTTACAAGAAGATGCGTACAGACCTTTTTATGCGATTAAATCGGCTTATTTTGTCTCTATTGATTGAAATCCAAAGAATTTTCATAAAAGTGTTGCATTAAACTTGCCATCAGTTTTTTTAAGATTGGAAACATCGCAATATTAAATTAACAGATTTGTAAAATAATATAAAAGGGTATATGTGTAAATGTGTTTGAAATTTCTAATTGAAAAAAAAAATTTAAATACGGTAATACTATACACTTGATTAATGAACAAAAAATGTCATATTTGTAAAATTTATTGGCTTATTCAGTGAAATAAAGTTAAAGATGTTTCCCAAGGCAGTTAAGCTATGACTCAGTTACAACAAAACACCAAACATTGTATAGTCCTTTGCTATGGGGCATTGTCCGTTTTAACTGTAGCCTTTGTGGTCAATATTTTATTGTAATGGGAACAAGGATCAAATGACCCATCAATTTGTCGAATTATTAATTGAGATATGATTGAAATATTTCACTGATGAATAAAAAATTTGTGAATTATTCACCTGTAAAAAGGTATGAAAAAGAATTTGGTTGACCTTGCAGAATACCTTAACTACTTAACAATACGAAAAATGACTCATTTCTTTTTCTTTCAAGTTTAAATATATTTTTGATACAAAAAAAAACTAACTTTAATCAGATTTTAAAGATATCATTAGCATGTAAAGTAAACTTACAAGAAATGTAATTAATGTTCAAATGCAATTTTAATTCTACCTGTAGTCAACATGTAAAGGCGTGTCAGAAATTCTTTACAATACATTATTACAGATACTTGTGGTAATGTTGATTCACGTAGCATTAAAATCTAAATTTATGAATAAAACAAATATGTATATATATATATGTGTGAGATATCCGTTCGTAAATTTATACACAAAACACACCATTTAAAATAGACCTTACAGTAACAGTGCATGTATACGCAACAATTAACCAATTTCTGCAGATTTGATTAAGAATATAAAAATCCTTTTTTAAACATCGTGTGAATAAACTTATCAAGACTTTGTATATATATTGCGTAGATAGACTTCTAAATCAGGAAAAATTCAACGAGACAGGCACCCAACAATTTAGAGTGATCAGAAATGAACAAGATTATAATATAAAGTATGACCAACGAATTATTTGAGTGTTGGTTATTAAACACTCAACAGGAAATATTCGATATACATTCAATATGTATACCGGTTTTATGCATCTCATCTTTATTTTATTTCCTTATTACAAAATTTACATATTCTAAATTTTAGATTGAAATTGTAGAAACGCCCCATTTCTTATTCATCTTAGATTAAATAGTTCTTTATGGGTACAATATTTTCAATAAGTATGGCTCAAAATTAAATTTTGAATAATCGATAGGTTCTATGATTATGTTTCGATGTTTTATGTCGTGTTTTATCGCAATCAGTTCGTTTGTTAACAAATAACAATATTTTGAACATAATGCATTTGTCTGCCGTATTTTTAATGCTCGTTTGAAGAAAGCACATGATGTTCTTGCAACCCAAGTGATTTCGGGATAGAACGAAAAGTTATCACAGCTTTATAGACAATCTGTTTGGGAGAGTGTGATCATTTGTTATTATAATGTATTCGAAGTACAATCATTTTCCAACATTTGATCATTATATATCATTATACATGTATATATATATATATATATATATATATACGTCTGAACCAGTCGGACAACTCTACGACAGATTTTATCCATCGGATCACCAGTGATGGTGATATATATATATATATATATATATATAAGTACGTCTAAACAAGTGACAACTCTACGGCAGGTCTATCCATTGGATCACCCGTGAAGGTGATATACGGCTGAAAACACATATTCTATTCATAATTACTCTAAATATCAGCACAACAATGTTAAATCCAGCGCTTTAGACCACTCGGCCACCTAGACTGAATAAAAATTCAGCTTTCGTTGGCCTAATATATCATGTACTGTGTTACAACTCTAGATTATACTGACGCGGAAAGGTTGCACTCGGCCAACGAAAGCTGAATTTTTATTCAGTCTAGGTGGTCGAGTGGTCATGAGCGCTGGACACAGTGCAGGCGGTATTGTCACGATATCCCAATAGCATGAGTTCAAATCCCGGCGAGGGAAGAACAGAAATTTGCTTCCGCAAATTTGCAGATATAACATTGTTGTGCTGATATTTAGAGTAATTATGAATATAATATGTGTTTTCAGCCGTGTATCACCTTCACTGGTGATCCAATGGATGGATCTGCCGTAGAGGTGTCACTTGTTT